CAAAGGTCTTTCAATAAGCAAAGAATTGAAAGACGCATCTATCTGTATTTTAAAGGGGGAAAAGAATCTAGACTCCAAGCTTTTGTAGCATTTCTCTTTAGGAAGAGTAAGAAGCTTTGTTGAGAAGATGAAACAGAAGTTCAAGATTCTGTCTCCCAAAATAGCTGGGTATGCAGCAATCTAGTAGAAGAAAAAAGGTGGAGAGTAAGTATACCTTTCTAGCTTATGCCACTCATTCTTCTTTCTTTTCCCATTTTACTACAGATCTTCTCAGAACATATAAGACAAGGAGAAAAAATGAATAAGATGATGAGAAAGAGAAGGAAGGATAGAAAGGAAATTCCATGCCTAAGAAATTTGAGAGAAAGGAATCTTTTGGTCAGTACTAAGTAGCATTAACATGTTAAGAGATGATTCAGTAAGGTTGTGTTTTCAAATAGGAGTTTAAATACATGTAACAAAATAGTAGAATCAGAGTACAGAGAAGAGTCTTACAGATCATCTAGTACCATATCAATTTTCAATAGGAGGACTTTTACCCTAGTGCATTTTGACAGATGGTGAAGCATGTTGTCTTTGAATATTCCAAATCACATATTTCCTTCTTGGAGAGATCCAAAAGTTAGGAAGTTCTTATAACATTATACCTGTCCACCTCACATTTTTTTAAAAGAATTATTCTCTTGAACTTTATTTATTTTATTTATTTTTAATTTGACTAGAGAAGGACACATACACACACACACACACATACACAGAGAGAGAGAGAGAGAGAGAGAGAGAGAGAGAGAGAGAGAGAGCCACTGAGTCTGGGACTCAAACCACAGTTGGCCAAGTGGGAGTCCAGCACTCTTAATTACCACTCCACCTGCTGCCTCCCTGTCCCCCTCACTTCCAGTCATTTGATTTGGTACAAGCTCAATGAGGGCAGGAAATGTCTTGATTATTTTCACATCCCCAAAACCTCAATGTTGTACACAGAAATTACTCAGTAAATTGTTGAACTGATGTGTAAGTAGATGAATGGATAGAAACTGAAGAAACAGATTAAGTTCATATCCAATCCATACAATAATTCTTTATATATTTTATAGCAATTATCATGTCTCTTAAACTTAATTTTCATCAAGAAAAATATACTCTGTTCTCTCAACTAACCTTCACTGTTCCGATGACTTAATTCTGGGAACCTGTCATATTACCTATATGTGACTTTCTCAGACAGAGTCAAAGGAAATAAATAAAAGGAGTAATTAAAATGCTGTTTAAAATATTTATTTTCTTTTGTTCTTGCCATAAACACTGTTTTAAATTTTCTATAGCTTTTTTAGAAGCATAGTACTTCAATAAAATAAATGTTTGCATTATTTTTAAAAAACAATAAAAATCTTTCATAACCTTAAACATTCTAGGTGCATCTTCTTGCAGTTCATTTTTTTCTGTTTTTTAAATGTAATGTGATTATACTGCATATATAATTTTATATAACTTTTTAATTTAACATTATACAATGAGTTTTTTTTTTGTTGTTGTTGAGAGGTTTTCGCTATAGGGCTCGTGCACTTGCCAGACAGACAGAGAGAGACGTAGAGACAGAAACCAAGAAATCACCCCCAGGGGGGATGGTCACGCCGCAATCCCTTCTCCTCCATTCTCCTCTTGGGATCTTGGGCACACACGCACATGCGCCCAGTGTGAGTTTTTAAGCCACTGGGTCCAGGACGTGAACCGCAGTCGACTATATGGGAGTACAGCAACATAGCCATTACGCTAACTGCTGGTCCTATATACAATGAGTTTTTACTCATTTTATTATCAGTTCTTTGCAGAGGCCATTTTAAGTGCTTATTATATTTCACTAGAGAGTTATACTGTTTATCTAACCAATACGTATGATTGTGCAGAACCTAATGTCACAACAACAGATAGGACTTTAGAAAAAAGAAATTAATGTACCTAAATCTTTTTCTACATCTTTGATCATCCATTAGGACATATTATAGAAGTACAGTTAACAGATCAAAGGGTATCCATATTCAATAAGACTTCTTAAATCATCCTTAAAATACCTTTCCTACCCCTCAAGAATAAGTTTTCTTATTCTATGTTACTGGGGCAGCCTACACTTCCGCCTTACATACTTTATGACAATTTTGAATACTTGGCAATATTTTTATTTCCTTTTACACTGTACACTTCATTAAGGTAGGCCTACGAACTGTTTTGCTGACTCTTTTGCATAGGGCCCAGTACATCACACATGCTCAATGTAAAGTCTACTGAATTCACTGAATATTGTTGAATAGTTGTCATTGTTAAAGGAGACTTGGATTTTTGTCCTCCAAGAGCACTGTTTGCAAATATCCAACTCATAAATGCCCTAAAAATTTGAGATCTCAAATGATGTAATGTGATTCAATATTTGTTAAAAATAAAGCCTGTGATTTAGAACTCATTTCTCAGCTATTATGAATTCACTGAATGTGTTAAACTCTGCACTGAAAATTTAGTGAGACTGAGATCTGAACATTACCAGCTCTCTGGGCAGAAAACTTCCTTCTTGGCGGGCAATGACTAGTGATGCTGTCTCCCCTTGCTTGGTGCTCCGTAGCATGGCCACCAGCTCTTCCTGGGTTCTTCCAGTGACATCTCTGCCATTTACCTATGGAGCACAATCACAAACAGCCAGTTACAGCGCTTGCTATTTCCTTCTCCTATGGATAGATTTTTTTTTTTTTAAAGGAAGCAGCAAATGGTCTCCCATGATCAAGGAAACTCTGAACAGATGAAAACTAAACACTGGGGTGAAAACCAACCATGTTTCTGATAATACACCAGTCATCATTATTAAGATATTGGATAAATTTGGCCAGTCATTAGTAGTGACAATTTTTCCCAAGATATCACATTGTTATAAAAGGATAATCAAACTGACAGATATTAGAGAATGGTCCCTCAAAATAGTTGGGAAGCGGATTTCAAGTGCTTCCTAATTCCTCTGGAAATATGAGTCTTTTGGTATAATTGTACCATTTTCTCCATGTTCAGAAATCTACAGCCATCAGATTATCACAGATTATTAGAGATCCTGATTTGGAGCTACATCAGTCATCTGGTACATGCTCTTTCATGATATAAAACTACATCAAACACTAGAGTGTTTCTTTCATGCCACAAGAGAATTAAGCAAAAGTACCCAGTTTCAGTGACGATAATTTCTTGAAAGGTAAACTGGTAATATATAATTACCAAGAAGATGATCCTGTCAAACAAACACACAAACAAACAAAATGGGCAAAAAGAAACATCTTCCCTCTTTGGGTTGTCCAAATACTTCTCTGTGTAAAATTTCTTACAGTTGTTTCCATTGTTAGCTTGTCTTGGGTACTACAGATCTGGACAAGTCATAGATTAACCTCAGCAACTGGTCTATACTCATAAAAGTTTAAGGGAACTGGTATAAGACTTTGGATGTAACTTTTAAATTCTTATCCCTAAGTGAATATCCAATCAATTCATGGATTCAACCCAGATTTCCCAGGTTCTCAAAGAGGTGAAAGTAAGAAAGAGATGATAGGGAAAGGTTCTCATTATTATTTGGTCCTGTATTACTAAGCATCTTGGGTACTTACATAACAACAAGTTCTATAATTAAAGTCCTTATTTTATCTACAAGTATTAATTTTCAATATATGTTATGTTCAAAACATAAATATTAACATATAAATACATAGATTTATTTAAATGTCAAGAATTCTTTTGTTGAAGATTTTAAGGTTGTTAATTTCTTCCATCAGAGAGGTAGACAGAGGACAAGCACCCCAACAGGGTCCCCATCTCATGATCTACCAGGTTCAGTTGACCTAAATCATGGGCGTGTTTGTACCCAGCCTGCTCAGGAAGGTCCCAGGACATTAACTCAGGACCTTTTTCATGTGGATGTAGCTGTACCAATACCTAGGCCCGCTGAAGATAGAAATTCCAATTCTTACCTCTAAAATTCTGTCCCCAGACTGTAGGCGGCCATCTTTTATTGCTGCTCCCTTCGGTAAAATGTTTTTTACAAAAATGGGACCAGGACCGTGTATGGAAGAGTCTCTGGTGACCACAGTAAAACCCAGTCCTTCAGGGCCTAGTGGATAAGACCAGGAAAAGACACTGTCACCTTAAGCATTAATAATATTCCAGTCAACCATACAAATGAAACATACCTAATTTAGACTAATGTAGAATAAGTAAAATATTTACATTCCAGAGATTCAAAATATGCTTCAGTTATTTTAGTTTCAAATACATATTATAGTTCCTGACAGGCCATGATAGTATGAAAGTGAACTTATAGCCCAATACAGATGTGGAACACTTTTCGTTTATTCAGATTCTAGAAGAAATGCACCTGTTATCCATATGCCTGGGAGACTGATTTCTCAGTAAACCGTAAACTGATTTCATACTTTTATGAGAAACAAAAGACCACCTGACAGGAGTTTTATCAGTCTCTCAGTCAGCTAGTCAACATGGGCTCATCCCTCTAATTTTCTCAATTTTGTGTACCCTGCATTGCCCTGTCCCATCAGCAAGAAACTTGCTTCTCCTGTCCTGTCCTCTTACTACTCTAATTTCTCCCTTCCTGTCTAATTTTCACCCTAATGGTATGCTCAGATTTTTCAATCTTACTACTTCTTGAAGCTTCCATTACCAGTTACCTACCCATGGCCACATCTGGTAATTCTTCTTCTCTAGTCTTTAAACTTCCCATCAACCATTTTCTTGAAATAAACTCCCATTGGTTTTCATGTCTCAATTTTCTCATTATTCTCCTACCTCTTTGATTAAATTGTCTGTTACTTTCTCTAATTTTTATCCATTGTCCTCCCATATAAACACAGATATTCCCTAAGGATCTCTTCTAGACCAATTTTTCCTCTAGACTCCCTGCCTTGGCCCTCCCAGTTCCGACTATCATCTCTCTGTGAAATAGACTTTGATCTCCTTGTTTGGCCCTTATCTCTCTTTCAAGTGTCAGCGTCCGAAATATTTCAATGCACATTTCAAATTTTACCATGCATCTCCTTCTCCAATCCAGATCCTGGTTTTTTCAAATATTCTCACTACTTACAGTTCTAGTTTCTAGCAATGACATCTTCATTATGCATGTCACCCTGGCTGAAAACTTCAGCAATAACCATAATCTCTCTCTTTCTTCCTTCCTATAACCAGTCATCTATCAAGGCATGCATATTGCATTTCACTTTTAGACAGATGCAATGGACCTTTTGCTGATCCTTTGTTATTCGGTCTCTTCTTCAGTGTATCTTTTTGCTGTCAGATTAATCCTCCAGAAGCCCAGCTGTGATGCTACCCTCTTGTTTTGTACATTCAAGGGTTTCTGATGGGTTTTTAAAATTACTTTGTGTCTTTTTCATCTTTCTAGCTGCAAAGTACTGAACTCTGTGTCTTACATAGAGCCAGACCATTTGTATAAGACATAACCCATGCACTTAAATTAAAAAAAAAACTTAATTGCTGAAGCACTTGAGCATATTCATGCCTCCTAATCAATACATTTTCTTCCCACTCTAGAATTCTTATGGGTGAATGAAATTTTGTTCATAGAATCTTCCTGAAATTATCTCTATATCTTAATTTAAAATACATGTTATTTATTTTTACAATTTGTTAACAGATATACTAAAACTACCTTATGATCATTAAACTTTCTATTAATTCAGACAGGAATCTATAAGATTTTTATTTATTTTCAATTTCTTGAAAAACCTGGGATGTCAGATAGGTATAATGGGGGGAGGGAAAATCAGCAGAGGTTACAAAATGAACAAAAACACAGAAGCGCATGAATGCTTATGTGTGTGTATATATAATATTACATAAATATGCATGTACACACATGATCTAGTCTCACTGATCTGTGCTTAAAATGGATAGAAAAGTTGAAAATGATAAAGGAATGGTTATGCATGCTTTTGAAATTAAATATGCTTTGAAAATATGTTTGCAATGTTGAATTAGTAAAATTAATCATTACAAATGTGCTTTCTAAGAAATAAACTTTTTGCTGGTCTAAAACTGTTAGAGAGCCAGAAATAATGTGCTTTTTGGATTTGACCTAAAGGAGGCTTTAAAAAAACACTAATTGTGCTTAAAACAAGGACAACTGAATTGGAGTGTCTATTTTGTATTATGTTGTAGCACAATATTGCTCTGTTTCTATCAGGTTTGCAATGATTCTATCCACTCCCAACATGTCTTCATTATTACCTTGTTTCAAATAATCTACATTCTCCAGAAGAACAGGATAAGAAAATGCTACAATTTTAAAAATTTAAGTTACCTAAGTATACACTTAAATCTATTATTTGCTACAATTAAATGAAGGGAGAATTAACTAAATTAGCCTTAATGCATTTCTCTTAACCAATTTTACATGTTACAATAATAGAATGCTATTAAGCATAATTTAATAATTACCTTTCTTTAGGTCAATCTTAATTTTCTTTGCATTTTTCTTGCTCCCAAATCCCATGAGTGGGGAGAGTGAGGGAGAGGATGGCTTTCTTCCTGCCCTTGGTACTCGAGGGCTCTTGCTTTGTTGCAGGGAAGTAGATGCATCTGCTTCAGGACTATTTGTTCCTGTGAGATTCATTGTCTTTAGTCCTGATTTTCCATGAACAGGTGGTGGTACTTTTGTTTTCAAAATGCCATCATTGTTACCAAAAATATTAAGAGGTCCAATGACTGATTTTTCATACTGTTCACGATTTTGAGGTGGAAGCACACTTAGGAATACACTTGGAGATTTCATCGCCTGACGAAAGACGTCTTGTGCCCTTAAAAGAGAGTGAAGTTAAATGTAAAACATTATCATGTTATAGAGTGCCATCTCCTAAATGACTCCAGCATGGCGACCACCAGGAGCATCATGGTAGTATCAGCACAGAAGTCATTATCAGTATTATTACCAACATGACTGCTAACTAAATACAAGTTACCACTTACTACTGGATCACTAGGTATACTCACACTGGGCTATACGTTGCACTATTGTCATGAATAAATCTTACTTAATCTTCTCTTTTTTTAACTGTTCCTTTCTTTCTTTCTTCCATAATTGAGAGAGGTACAGAGAGAGAGAGGAGAGCAAAAATAGATCACCCCCAACAGGGTCCCAATGCCATGACCCACCCCTAGCCTCAGCTAGCCATGGATCAGCGACATACATGCTAGGCATATTTAGGGATGTATCTGGCCTTGAACCATAAACCTTCCCTTGTGGGATTTCCTCAAAGAGGAAAAGTGATACCACTGCATTACTGTATGACCACAACACCACCACCACCTTTAATCTTCTTAACTGTGTTGGCTCTCATTTTGCAAATGAGAAATTTGAAGTTCAGAGAATAAACAACTAGGACATTGACCTGTAGATTTTATGTCTTTATAAATATAAAAAAATCTAATCAGAAGTGGCTATATAAGTTAATATATAAAGTAAACTTTAATTTTAGATGGAAAAATTTATCTTTTTTATCAGATTATTAAAAGTTGTCTAAAATCATAAAAGGTCTCATATCACCACAGCAATACTGTGCAAAAAGAATAAAGTAGGAGGCACCTCACTTTTTTACTTTAGGACTTTGCTCTGAAGTGCAGATGTTTTCTAAAATTGGTTGAATTACAGAAGTTCAATTTTGACATGTTTGCTCATAGAGACATTTGGTAGATGCTTTGACTGTGTCTCAAGGTCCCAGTGGGTTGTCATTCTAACATGCACTCTTCCTATTATGCTATAATAGAGTTGCTCTATTTTCCACTGTTCTGTTCTACTCTATGCATTCATCCTCAAATTTCCTGCTACTTTTTCTCTCCTTCTTTATGCATTTATATGTACTGTAACTAGGTAAAACAACTACCTTTCTCAGACTCTTTCACAAAAAAAAAAAAAGTGAAAGGATGAAAGGAAAGCTCTTTAAAAGAGGCTGGGAGGCAGAAACTTTTATTGGAAGGAGAAGAGTAATTTTATTTACATTTGATTACTGTACAGAGTTACAGATTGCATGCAACATTGTTTTATCCAGCATGCATGCAGTGCATGTCAATCAGGTCAAATATATTACCATATACATCCTCATTAACAGATTACATTCTTGAGCCTGTTAATTTTATTTCTTATTCCTGAGTGCCCCCTTGTATGCAGACTCTGGTATCTACATTTGCCTTCCCTGATATTATGGGGAGATACAATATCTGTCTTTCTTAGTATGCCTTGCTTTGCTTAATATTAAATTTTCTCTATTCATCCACTTTGTATCAAATGTAAAGGTTTCTTTTTTTATGGCTGAGTAGTATTCCATAGTGTATATGGGTCACATTTTTTCAATCCAGTCATCTGTTCCTAGGCATTTGGGTTGATTCCATGTGTTAGCAATTGTGATTAATGCTCAATAAACATGGATGCATAAGTGTTTTTCCAGCTGAGTGTTTTCCTATCTTTTGGGTAAATACCTAGGAGTGGTAATACTGGTTCATGTGATAGCTCTATCTGTAGGTTTTTGAGGAACCTCCACATTTTTCACTACAATAGCTGTACTAATATACATTCCTACCAACAGTGTAGAAGGGTTCCTTTTCACCACAGCCTCACCAGCACTTGTAGTTCTCTGTTTTTTAATCACAGCCATTCTGACTGAGATTAAATGGTATTTTGTTGTAGTTTTAATTCACATTTCCCTAGGTAAGAGATGTTGACCATTTTTTCAAATGCTTTTTGACCACTTGTATATCTGCATTGGAGAGTTGTCTGTTCAACTCATTTGACCATTATTTTGTTTTATTTTTTATTCTGGTTAATAGACCCTTATCTGAACCATAGTCTACACATAGTTTCTTCCATTCTGAGGGTTGTCTCTTCACTTTAATTATTGTTTCCTTTGTTGTGCAGAACCTTGATAACCTGATGGAGTCCCACTTGTCTATTTTGAGGATGAATGCCTATGCTTTAGGGGTCTTATTTAAGAAATATTTGCCTACTCCAATGTCTTCAAGAGTTTCCCTTGCGTTTTGCACCAGTAGTTTTGTAGTTTGAGGTTTTACTTTCAGATCTTTGATTCCTTTTGAATTGATTTTTGTTAATGGTGAGATATAGGGGTTCATATTCATTTTTTTACAGGATGATATCTAGTTTTTTCAGCACCATTTGCTGGAGAAACCTTCTTTTCCCCACTGGATTGCCTTGTGTTCTTTGTAAGGATCATTTGGACTTACGTTTGGAGGTTTATTTCTGGGTTCTCTAGTCTGTTTCATTGGTCTACATGCCTGTTCTGGTGCCAATGCCACGCTCTTACTGATTACCACAGCTTTGTAATTTATTTTGAAGTCAGGAAGTGAGATGTCTCCTACTTTATCCTTTTTGCACATTATTGTTGTTTTGATAAGGGGTCTTCTGGGATTTGGACAAATTTTATGTTTTTTTTTTTTTTCTTCTCTATTTCTTTGAAGAATATCTCTGGTAAAATTTGTTCAGAATTGAATTATATTTGGAAATTAATTTGGGTAGAATTGACAAACACTGTTTTTGTTCTCTTGTTTCTCTTTCTTATTTCTTGAAACTCAGAAGTGATGGAAGGAACTCTGGCAGCTCTCTTGTGGCTATGATACAACTTAAAGATAATAGCCATATAGAAAGGCTAGCAAAGCAGAAAGATGATAGGTACCTGATTCACCAATGCCTGTGGAGTCACCAGACTGATACTGAACTACCTAGCTCCATTCTTAGCTGTCTTTAGGAAAAATAAAATCTAATCTTGTTTAAACTACCATCATTTCAAGTTTCTATTACTAGCAGACATCCCAAATAACAATTAATCATTTTAACTGATCTCTAATCTCCCATTTTTCACTGAAGTGCTTAATTCCCTACATTGCTTGAGGAGACCTGAGACAAGGTCTCTTACACAGGCCATCCAATTTCTCAAGTCAGTTCCCCTATGTCTTTTTTTGCTTGAGTTGGAACTGTTTTCTACCCTATATTAACTCCACACTGAATTTTTATAAGAATTATGTTTCTACCTCTATAAAATAGGGAAAATAATGCCTGCCTTGATACCTATGAAATCTTTGCAAAAGGCACAATGGAATCTAAAAATATTACCATTGTTAATAATTGTAATTTTGCCTATCATTATTTTAACAAAAAAGACTCTTAAGACTTCACTTCTTTCCATATTTAAGAAGGCAGTATCCACTTCCCCTCTATTCATAATCACTTACTCCCTTCTAAACCTACACACAATATTGACAACAAGTGCCAAGAATTACGAGTAGGGTCACAAGGAGTCCTCAAAAGTTCATGGAACATAAACATTATGAAAAAAACTATGCATGGATTAGAAAAATTTTTGAACCAAAATAAACTCGTCTACTTTAATTCCATTTTTCTACAAAATTTTTGAAGTACTCTCATCTTATTAGCTGTTTTATTCGCAAACGAGAGAGTCCAGTGATCACTAATAAGGACTGTTAGTACTTATTCTGATTTCAGAATCGCATTGAGACACCAAAACATTTTTAAAAAATACATGCATCAGATGGCTACATACTCTACATCTAAGTACAGGAAGCTATCCTCATAATATTTTCACATACAGAGAGATGATTTCTTCAAAGAAAGCATTTTAATTTTTTCTATTTATTTCTAGTATTCAATTAGTCCTTACAGATATTTCCCACAGATTTTTTGTTTGTTTGTTTAGCTTAAAGAAGACTGCTGACATTGAGTAAGTTAATTAATAAGCTGGACTAACAGTCTGTGAAAGGAGCCATTAAATACCAGTCTAACTGACCCATAGCCTAAGAAAAACAAACCCATCCATTGATGCCCCAGCTAGACAGCCAGGCTGGAAGACGTGCTATATTCTGTAGTTTAACGTTCTTAGAGCTTTCTGGGACATGTGCTGGCCACCTTTGAGATGCTAAAACAGAAGATGGATTGAAAATGGATGTCCTGGGTTCATTCAAAGGGAACTGACCAGAAATTCTGCCTACAATTTTGATTATAATGAGTTTGGAAATGACTGTAACTATTCTAGGGATCAATAGAGTAAATAAAACAATGAAAAAAATGCTTACTGAGCAAAGGTTTTGTCTACAAGATCCACATTGTTGATTTTTACAATACATTCATTTTCATGAAATAATCCATCCCGCTTGGACCTGCTGTTTTCTTCAATGCCTCGAATAAAGAGTCCTAGAATCCTAAATGAAAAATGTAGTTGAAACAGAATTACTGCATAATAATATGCTAATGATTTCCCTACTTGCAACTATTCATATATAAGTATTGATTTCTATTTACAAAAGGAATTATGCTTCATATTCAGGCAACTGTTTGTTATTTAAATCCTTACCCCGAAATAAATAAATAAATAAAACTCACTAAATGCAAAAAAATTCCTTCAGGATAAATATACATAAATTCCAACCCAAAGAACATCAATCTGTGATTTCATTTCTCATGCTTGCGGTAAATTCAGAAAAGATGTATATGGATTGCTTAGTGGAGTAGAAGAAGACCCAAAGACTCATGATTTGGAGAAGGACATCACAGTAAATAAGTCTAAGTTAGTGTCAACACAGCTACTTGATGTTTAGTAATGGGAGAGGATTGGGTATTTACTGTAACTTTTCATAGTCTTACCACCTATTCCAATAATTTGCATTTTAAAAAGTAAGCAAACATTGTGACCAGCAGTTAGTGTAATGACTATGTTGCTGGACACCCACATAGTGGACTGCGGTTCACGTCCCGGACCCGGTGGCTTAAAACTCACGCTGGGCAGGGCACCAGCAGTTAGCGTAATGGCTATGTCGCTGGACTCCCACGTAGTCGACCGTGGTTCGCGTCCCGGACCCGGTGGCTTAAAACTCACGCTGGGCGCGTGTGCGTGCGTACCCAAGATCCCAAGAGGAGAACAGAGGAGCAGGGATTGTGGCGTGGCCATCCCCACTGGCAGGTGATTTCTCACTTTCTGGCTCTCTGTCTGGCGAGTGCACGTACCCTATAGCAAAACCTTCTCCAAAGGAAAAAAATGAAGAAGTAAGCAAACATTTAAGCTCAGAGAGTATTACTCAATTTAGAAGAAGTTCAGTCCCATTTTTTTGAGCCACTGAATCAAATATATGTTGGGTGTTTCTTATGTGCTTAGGACAGAGAAATATGAGACAAGACTTAAAGACCTGAACCAATCATATTGCTCTCAATATGACTGGGGAGCATAGAAGTTAAAACACTGTAAACAACAATGAGTCTAGAATCTTCATAGATGAGTTGGAGAGCTAACACTGGAGACCAGTGCCTCATATAGGGACCTTGAACGCCAAAGAACTTAACTAGGTGGAATGAGTGTAGAGCACTCATCTCCCCCTACTACTGACCAGAACAGTGACTTGATAAAAGCAAGGCTTTGGAAAGAGCAAGGTGAAAGAAAAGCTCAGAGGTAATAAAATTTCATCTAGGAAGAAGCTGTACTTGATATCCTGGTAGTCCTGGCACTTTGTGGTTGTGGCTTATAATCAAGAGGGGAGGAGGGAGAGAAAAGTGGAATAAAAGAAAGATATCTACAACAATAAAGATTGAATTGTGTGTGTGCGTGTGTGTGTGTGTATCTGTTACATATACAAACCAAATATTAAACTGAACATTTTTAAAAAATGGAACTTGTATGTATTTTAGTCACTTTCCATTTGAGAAATTTTCCTTCTTCCTGTGGCAATGACAAGGTCCTAGCTGTGTTACAAAGTAAGAAAGATACCAAGTCTTCCAGGAGGAATCTTCTGGGTGTGGAGAAACCATCTCCGCCTTCCTAGCCCATTGTTTATCTGCTTTATCACTCTATTTTTATTTAACAGAAGCTGCATGTGCCCCTTTGCATTAAATTTCAAATCTAAATAAAATATGAGCACATTTTATGCATGGATAATGGGGTCAGCCATGGAAAAATGGCAGTCTATAATGAAAGTGTAAGAGAAAGAAAGCCATTGTCCTTTGGAGTACCCACGAAGTGGAGCCTCTGCCTCCAGGACCTCAGTTCACTTAATGAGCTCATGTCATCTCAAGACGTCAATAGGTAAGGCATGTGCAGTGATATTTAGGTCTCCTTTACAAAAATGTTAAATGGAGATGGTAGGCTAATGCAAGAAAGACCACAGCAAATAGGCATACCACCTACTTCAAGGAAGGCTCAGAGTTTCAGGCACAAGTGTGTGATGAAGTCTTGTCCTTTTCCTAATCCTAGTAGGTTAGTAAATTATTCAAACATATCCTGTGCTACCTTCATCTCCTAACATAATATTAAAAATTGAACTACTTGACTTGCTAAGAAAAAAATAATAAATAAATCAAAAATTGTTTTTTCCTAAATTAAACAGCCTTCCAAGAGTTCACATTTTGAATTTTTGTTATGGTGGAGTCACAATAACATGCTCCATTAGGAGGCTCACATGTGGTTATAAACTAGTTTATGTAAGTGATATTTTTTTAACAAGCATTCAAGTCTTCCTTTAATTTAATTCAGTACATCATCAGTCATGTAATGTTACTCCCTAGGATTTAATTTCACATTTTGGGAGATGAATTAATTCTTTCAGGCCACTGGGTTGCAATTTAGCTGGCATATTACAGCTGGAGTACGCTATGTGAACCTCACTGATCTAAATAACCTAACTTTCCATGAAAAATTTATTGACAGAATAAGCCCAACTGTAAAACCCATGTGTCAGAGGTAATTTTGGTAAAATGTAAAACTGACTGGTTTTATTAGTTGGTCCCTGGCAACGAACCACTCCTGCCTTTTTTATTCCATGGAAGGGATAGATTCTCTCCAGTTTGATTTCATGCAGACCACTGTGAGAAGACTCAGAAAACAATATGTCATTATCCTCTTTGCCCCAAATTGGTGGGCTGTGGTGGTTGTCTCATTTGGGAACAGGACTTGCAGGATTTAAAGATTAACACTGTCAAGGAGTTATAGGCCAAGACTAACCAGTTAATTTGCATTAGTGAGCAGTGATAAAAGATACTGAAATCCATAGCCCCATAGAATAAGAGGGGTAACAACTGCCTCTTGCTCTTCTAAGAATAATTTAGGCACCAACATCTCCTTGGGTTCTTCCTGTTTTTTGTTTATCTGTTTGTTTTGATAATTTGCTAGAGAATATGTGTGCTTACCAGAAACAGGGAGAGAGAGGGAGATACAGAAAGACAGAGAGAAAGCACACCCTCCTCACATCCCTCCCCAGGGAGGATGGTCATGCCTCAATCCCTCTCCTCCATTATTCTTTAGGAATTTGGGGCATGTACACACGCGTGCCCAGCATGTTTTCTAAGCCTCCAGGTCGGGAACTCAAACAGTGCAGCAGGCCATGTGGGACCCAGCTGTCACAACTGCCATCCACCGGCTGTTCTTCCCACCATATTACATGGTTTTAACTCTATCAGCTTAGCATTACAGTCTAAATATCTCCTCTTTTCACATTCTGTGTCACTCTTCATTCATCTATCCTCCTCCTTCCTAGTATTTAGCTATCCACACTATGAAACTGAGGTATAATACGCTATCTTTAAAATTTTTTATTTTTATGCTTTTAATTATAAAAAAAAAATCATATGAGATCTAGCCTCAGTGGCACACACTGCTGAGATATCGTGCTTGCAGACTGATACCATCTGGGAGGGCCCTGTAGGATTTCCAGTACTACCTAAAAGGCTGAGCTTGGTGTGGCTTGTAATACCAGCTACTAGGGAGGTTAAGGTGGGAAGAGCAAGACCCAGCAAGACTGTCTTTTTTTTTTTATCCTTTTTTTTAAAAAAAATCATAGCTACTGTTTTCTGAGTCTTTTCATAGTGCTCTGTATCACAGTGATATTTTTTTTGACTATGAATGAAATTAAGTTGTATTTTACTGGCAAGAATTTTTTTTAATGTTTATTTTGCTTTTTACTGGGGAAGTGAGTGGTCCTCAACACAACCAGTATTCAGCATCCCTGTTCTATATAGCTAATGAATCCATTGAGACTTTATCTGGTAGAGCGGCCACCATATTTCACTTAGTATGTTCTAACATTAGGCTTCTCATTGAACAACAGGTGTGGCAGTATTTTTCTAAAAGAAGAAAAAGAAAACGTATTGGAGGCAAAGCCAATTACAGTAGTCTTAGCAAAGAATTAGATGTGAACTCTAATTTAAAATAATGACACAAACTAATAAGTGAAAGGAAATTAAGAACAAAGTATACCACTATGACCTTAACTAAGCCCCTGTGCTCGCACAGTGAAACCATATGGCATTATGAAGTCAGACACTTGTCTGACATGCTCGCTGACTAGCTGCATCTAGACACATGGGTTCAGTTAAGTGTGCTGATTCAGCCTGTACTCATTACTTCTTAACTTTTATTGGCTCATGTCTCCACTTCCATATTATTTTTAATGCCTTTTAATTAAATTTCCTTTCTATATTACTAGCAAATAGCAGAAAAAAAGCAATAGAGCTATTTCACCAAGTTTCTGAACAGTTGACCATGAGTTTACAATAAAAAAAAAATTCTGAATCTGGTGTTTTGGTTTTAACCAAAACAATCATGATATTAATAATTTATACACTCATGGATGTGTGTTTTAAGGAGCTTTCATTTTTTTTAATATCATTTAATCCCCATAACCTTGATGTGGAGTAGGAATGCACAAGAGCCAAGTTTAGTGCCCCAGGTTGTAAAAATAAGAGCACTGGGATTCAAATTCAATTGTTCTGAATCCAAGTCCAATAGTCTTTTTACCACTTTGCAAGGCTTATGCTACAGGAATCAGAACCAAGAAGCAGAAGGGAGGAAACAATCAATTGTACTGTGTTTTCTTCATTTGAAACAAGGGATGATGATTTCTAGTCTATAGGGCCAGCTTCTTTTCTGAATTATTTAAAGTAAAGTATGTTTCATTGTATATTCCCTCATTTGGGGAAATGGGGAAGATTTTATATTCTACTCCAGCTTAATCAAACTAAAAGGGCTGGTCATTTAGATGCTCTGGTAATTCATAGAGCTCTATCAGGAGATTTCTGCCAAAAGCCATTCGAATTTCTCATGACAACGGAGTAAATACCCCATCTATCAAAAACCATCTCAGTTTGCCCTGTGTCATCACTCATAACACCTATAAACATGCTTATTAACACATACAGGAAACAGGACATTTAGAGTCACTAGCTTTTTGGTTCATTTCTTTTTTGGGAACATTCATTTCAGCAAGAGCTTGGCCTCAGATGTTATTTGCAAAAAACAAGGTGATGACTTTGCAATTACGGGTAGCAGATGGCTACCTACGGCATCTGATGCTAACCAAAATATCATGACCGAATCTGTTCTTCTTGCGATATGGCAGACTGAACTGAATAAATAATCAGACCAGTAAATTAATGCTATTGAACCTTTGGGAAATTTTTAGTTCTAGAAAGAGCATGGGAGTGAAGACAAGTCAGGAGAACTAGAATTTGTATGACCTCAGGGAAAACCAATGGAGTTTACCATTCTTTGGTATCTTAGGCTAAAATAAAGATTTCTGCCTTGTCAGTGATGTATTTAAGACAAAAATTTACTAAATTTATTAAGTTAATAAATATAGTAAATCAATTAATATCAATATCAATCTAATGTTCAAATAAATTAAAATCAATATTAATCTAATGCCAAAGGCAATCATCTTATTGAAAAGTGACACATTATCCAAAACTAGTTTTGTAACATTGTTATATTACTGCTAATAGTTACTCTGAGACACACACTTTAATTTCCACCAAGAATTTACATTCAGTTAAATGGATGTGAATTTCAAAGAAATGCTGACACAATCTAAATTACCATTTACCAGGGTGGATTTAGTACTTAATATATTTAAAACACAAAAGAATGCAGTAAATTATTTTGAATTAATTACATTTTATGTTAGAAAAAAATAAACAGTATGATGACATTTTGCTTTTATAGCTAAAATCATTTTACATATACAACTTCTACTGTAACTACTTCAAATGTTAGGCTATTTATCATTCCAAATTTTATATACCTAAAAAACCCATGAAATATAAACTTATACTTATTATGTTAACTTATTAAAGTGAATTCTGAATATCATAAAATTCAGCTGAGACATTTGCCTAACAATATGTTAAAATATTTCCCAAGTACTCTGTGTCACTGACAAAGATACTTCAGGAAAGTACTTCAGAATTAATTATATATGGAGAAATATGATTGATTTTTTTCTTTTTCATTATATACTAGAACAAATTATTTCATTTTGTTTTTTAACACATAAGTGGTCAGCAAAAAAAAGTGTATCTGCAGAAGTCCATCTGAATAATAGAGTTCACATTCAATCCGCCTCTGAAAAATATTTGGGAAAATGAGTTCCAGTCAGGGTTTTCATTAGCGAGAGCTTTTGCAATAAGAAAACATCTTACCTTCCACTTAGAGATGAATAGAAAGGCACTACATGTATTCCTAAGGGGCCTCCTTCCCCAGAAATCTCCACTGCTCTTGTCATATCACTGGGGCAGGGCAAAAACAAACAAACAAACAAACAAACAAACATGAACATAGGTGAGTCTCTGCTAAAAACCGGATGAGGCACATTTAAAACATACACACACTTCAGGACTATACCAACTAGTGCTACTTCAACAGCAGAGATGAAATCAAAGGAGTACATGATTTGCCGGTTCAAAAGATCCACAAAATAAAATGTTTAAAAGACTATCTGATTTCTTATTTTTTTCTACCAGAAGAGGAACAAATGGAAATGACTACCTACAAAAATAACTTCCTACTTAACTTAATCTACATAAATCAACATATTTTAAAAGTACACAAAAATGAAAATTTTCTCCATTGAGACATACTTGAAAATTACTGAGCAGATCAGAAAATACACAGAAGTAAGCACATCTATGCTTCAGCATAAAGTAGGCTTTTTTTCTGGAACAGAGGAAAAATGAAATAAAATACTTATTCATTAGAAATGTACAGAATTGCATTTTATAATGACTGTGAAGCCATAGTTGGTAATGTATACGGGCACGTTCAAAGCAATGTAAGTCAAAACTTAAACTTGCTTTTCAATAAGGCATCAGTTGTTTTCAATGGAATAATTCCAAATTTTCACCTCCTATTTCTTCTTAACGGTAGCAAAAAAGGTTGCAAAGTCTAGAGAAAATGTATTATAGAAAGAAATAGAAAGGCTGACCTTCCTAACCTACCCCAGATTAAGGAAAAGATGAGCTAGGAACATTAATGGATAGTGTGTAAGACTGAAATATAGAAGGCACTGAGTAATAAAAAGTAGAACTAACAAGTTTTCATAAAGATGAAAAATAATAACCGTGAACAATTATTGGCTTCTTTAATCCCAGAGAGAGAAATAAAATTGCCAGAGGAAAATGATAAAGTTGAAGCAAACATTTCTGTTATGGAAATTGTAAGCGGGTTGCATTGTTTCCTATTTACATGAAAATGACCTGAAACTAGATGTCAAATTAAGAGTTACAGCTGCTACAAATGCTCTTCTGCTCCAAATTGAAAATGGTGAAATTTTGGCTCCTTGCTGGAAAGTTGAGTACAACATTAAGAAAGCAAAATGCCTGATGAATTTACCCTGCATGAAGTATTCACTAAATTATCAGCAATCGAAAATAAATACATTAAGTATATTCTCATCAGTGTATTAGGATTATTTTTAATGTGTTTTCTTTGCAAGCCTATTACCATTAAGAACTGCAAAGAAAAAAAAGCATGTCAGTTTCCAGCATTTATGTAGAATATGAGAGAATTTCAGATCTGACAATAAATTTCAAATGAGTTTTGCTCAGATATTGCCAAGATATGTAAAATTTGTTCAGTCAAGCAGATTTTATCAGATACCTGGAATAAAAGTTAAATCAAAACAAATCTAAGAGTGATAATATAGGATGCAAGGATTCTTCTCTGTGTGTTAGGATGTGCACATTTATATGAACGTATGTATATGAACTGTCATATAAAGGTATGAGTTATTAGTCCTGAATACAAAATGCTTTGTGGGCAGAGAAAGTTAATGGCTTTTAATGGACCAAAAAACAATCGTCTTTATCTAATAACATATTTATAGGGTATTTTTAGGCATTTGAGAAAGACTAAACTCAAAGTATTTACATTCTAAGTTTATAATACTCTTTTAAAGACTTTTAAAACAGAGACTAAAATCTGTTTAACCACTGAAACATTATCTTTACCTTTATTATGTACTTTTAAGGTTTTGTACTGAAAGAATAACAGAAGTATTTCCTAATAAAGGTTTTAAGTATCTATATGCTGATAAATAGCGCTCATATGTAATATATAGAGGCTTTTGGAATGTGTTTAGTCTAGTGAAGACTTGAAGATTTCAGCTCAAGAATTTTTAGAATGGCTTTATGGATTTCCATTTTTTTTCTATTTTACAAATACTTCTTTACCTCTACTTGGAATCTCTCCTTTAAAACATAATGGATTCGGGAACCAGCAGTTAGCGTAATGGCTATGTCGCTGCTTTTTCTCTGGGTCATGTTGGGACTCGCTCTTTTTGCATGTGTCTAAAGGTAACAATGTTTGCTCAGATTGGTCACTCTCCTCACTGTCTCTCTTTCTTTTTCCCTGATGTCTGCACAAACCTGCTGGTAACAGATGAAAAAAAAATGCATTTCAGAGTAAACTTTAATCCTAGCATTATAAATAATAATTAAAATTCTTTGCCTGGAACTCTGTTTGGCAATTGTTAAGTTATTTTCACAAATACATTACTATTCCAAGAAAAAAAAAGCAGAAAAGACTAGTCTTTGACTAATATATAAGCACTTCTAGAAAATTAGATCTATGTAATAAAGGCAAGCATTTCACGTTATACATAGACCATCTCTTACTATGTTCTCCTACAACGGTATTTATTATATGTTTCAAGATATAAAGAAAAGCATTTGGAAAGAGATGCCTTGGGCTGGCCCTGTAGCTTAGTGATTAAGGGAGCTGCATCCCACATTGGCAATATAGTTTGAATCCTATATATACTGATAGTTTGAAATATATCCTGGGAGGGACCAGCAGATGGTGTGATGGTTATGTCACTGGACTCCCACATAGTCGACCACAGTTGGAGCCGTGAACCTGGAGTCTTAAAACTCATGCCTGTGTGAGGAGGAGAAGGGAGGAGAAGGGATTGTAGCATGGCCATCCCCCCTGGAGGGGGGGTAATTTCTCAGTTGTTGTCTGTCTCTGTGGAGAGCACATGTGTCCTATAGCAAAAGGCTCTCTATCTCTCTAAAAAAATAAATAAATAAAGCAGAAAAGGAAAACAAGCTGTGTGTGTGTGTGTACAGAAGTGCCCTAAAGCCCAAATGGACAGAGAAATGGAGGAGAAAGGATTGTAGATTACCAGACTTCACTGGGGTCGGGGGAGGGGGAGGGCTTTCTCCCTCCCTATTTCTTTGTCTCTTTCTGGCAATTAAAAAAAAAAAAAAGAAATAGAAGAAGTATGTCCCAATGACAAATGCCCATCGTTTTATTTATTTTAAAAGGAAAAATCCCCTCAGTATTATGAATACTTAATGGAATTCTGAGATCTCTGTATACATACACTTCATGGAATATAAACTAAGCAAGTAGGACAACACAATCATGTGGGTACTTATTTCATAAAGTGAGAATTTACAAAGATGTGAAAACAGGTTATTAATGCTATTTGTTTACACAAACTGCAAAGTACAGTTTAAGAATGAGTGAGCAGGGCATGGACATGCTTATTTATGTTTTAGAAGATAGTTCAGTAGCCAGAAGATAAACTGGAAGGTGAACTGAGAATGGAAAATGTAGAAAATGAGACAAGCCAGTGGCATATTGGTTAAGGAGACTGGATCCCACATGGCTGACCACATGGTTTGAGTCCCAGACCTGGTGAGTCGAAAGACATGCCAAGCACATATATGTGCATATCCACATACTGAGGGAGAGTATAGGAGAAGGAACTTCAGCCTGGCCATCCCCTATCAGGACACTCTCTCTGGCTAGCTGGCATGTTCTATAGCAAACTAAAAAAAAGATGTAGAACGGTTATTCTATCACTGGAAAAGAAAAGGGACTGATAGCAGAAATGAACTACGGGGTAAAGGGGAAGCAATTCAGTTACACAAAGAAGAAAAGTGGAAGATTTCACTAAGATCAAAATAGTTACTTTTATAAAAACTTTATTTTATAAAAGCATTGGGTCAATGAATATTAGCCAAGCTTCATGCTCTAAGATCCACTTGATGAAATTGATTCCAATAATCATTGGAACCAAATGCTACTAATCTGAGATTTTAAGACAAAACTGGGGATGAAGTTATAGAATCAGTAATTAACTAAACAAGATGGTCATTATGACTGGCTTCCGTGTTAGAGAAACACATTAAGAAGAGGATCTCGGGAACCAGCAGTTAGCGTAATGGCTATGTCGCTGGACTCCCACGCGGTTCGTGTCCCGGACCCGGTGGCTTAAAACTCACGCCGGGCGCATGTGCGTGCGTGCCCAAGATCCCGAGAGGAGAATGGAGGAGAAGGGATTGCGGCGTGACCATCCCCCCTGGGGGGTGATTTCTCGCTTTCTGTCTCTATGTCTCTCTCTGTCTGTCTGGCGAGCGCACGCGCCCTACAGTGAAAATCTCTCCAAAAAAAAAGAAGAGGATCTCAAAACTTGAGGCAGAAAATACAACACAAGTTCAAGAGTCAAGAGTTTTTAGGTGTGATTTCTTCACAGAAAGCACATGGAGGGCATTTTTAACATTAAGATTATTCTACTCAGTGTTAGGCCACTTGTGGAAGTAGGGGAAAGACAGGACTATGTCAGGGAGATGCTTTATTCCAGAAGAAAATCATGAATACCACATGTAATTAGACAGAATGTGTATCTCGATGGTAACTTTGAGTCAGGTATTTGAGTGACTCATTTAAACTAAGACCCCACAAACTAACTTTCCTCATGTATATAATAAAAAAGACTAAGAATAAGGATTCACTTAATATGGCTGTTGGTTTTAATGAGATAAACAGAAAACATAATATATATGAATTACACATACCACATTTGACATATACAAGAGGCTCAATAACTATTAGCTATTAGTATGTTTAGGAAAACTTTCTGAGGGAACAATTAACCTTATTGACTAAGGGAATAATCTACACTAAGTTTATCTTTTTTTTTTTTCTTCAGTAAAATTTTTTTTTTATTGGCCAGAGGATGCATGTGCTCAGCATAAAAAGAAAGAGAAAGTACTCCCCAATGGGGCGTGGACTGGCCACAATTCCATCTCTTCCATGTTTCCATCCCATCTGGATTTCTGTGATGTTTTTCTAGATGCAGGGTTCAGAATTTGAACTGTATGGCCAGCCAAATAGTATCTAGTTGTCTTAAACACTAGCATTGTGGGAGCCCTGTAAGACTTTTTAAAAAAATTCTAAAATAGTATAGGATTAAGGAGCACATTTTCTTCATGATGAGATT